ATTCAATAAATACAATGAGCTTTTTGTTTGGAAGGGAAATAAAAATCAAAGTCGAAGATGATGCCAGGCCTACATTTCCTACAGAATTCACTTAAAGTGCCGGTCCTTGGTCCACTGGTCTTCAAAGAGATGCGTTATCGGTGTGTTGAGTCTCTTTTGGAGTCGAAATCCTTCACTTGTATGGTTCTCTTCTTAATGCAGAGCTTCTTCTTATTCTTCACTCCTCACTTCTCTGCTTGGTTTTCGTATAAAAGGTTACATCCCAGTGCCTCCTCCCAGCTCTTTCCTGTCAGATTCCGGTAAACAGTACTTTCAAAGCTCCGGGATATAGACAGAACATTACAGCAAAGTGTCGGCAGAAGAGAAGATTGCGATTGTCGGTGAGGGAGCCAGGACTCAACTGGGGACCCATCCTGAGCCACGCACTTTGCTTCCTGTATAAGAGGCCTCTGGGAGTGCAGGGTTTTGAGGGGCTGAGGTGGAAGGGGGGGGGGGGGGAGGAGATAGAAAAGAAGAGAAAGGTACAGTAGCTACAGATCTGCTCTCCCAGGTGAGCTCTTCATGGGGCTGAGGAAGTCAAGCAGGTGGGAGGTGCCGCTTTAATGGGCCTCCCATGTGGCTCCACAGATGCCTCCAACTTTCCTCTGCCTGCACACTTGCCACTGTATCCTGGAGACAAAACCAGTGGGAAGTCGCATCCCCACAGGCTGCCTCTCCTTATTTGCTCCTCCATCTTCTCATCTCTCAAAGAGAACAGTTATTTATTCTGCCTTCACTTATTGGAATGATTGGCCACAGAGTATACGTGAACTGAATAGTAAAGTATCTTTTACTTATTACTTGAGAATGCACTATTAAAATCCGTGAATAATGAATTAACATATTTACTGTATGAAAGTGAGAATTATGTAATAGACATGAATGTAATAACTTGTTCAGAATGATTTCTGATGACATCTATAATGTTTATGCATTTATCCAAAGTAGAATATATATCTGACCATATATACACACACACATACACATAGGTATCTCCCCATCTGGGAATCAAACCCCTGGTCTCCCATATTACAGGCAGGGAGACTTACCACTAAACTAACCTCCCATAGCAAAGTGAAAATATGATTTTGGTGTTGTGGACCCCAGGAGGACCAGCTCATCCCACTTTTGGTGACAGCTAATAATAATAATAAGATTTATAATAATAATAATCTCTTCTCCCCCTCCCTCGCTGCTGCCTCAGACCCTGTGGGATGACAAACAGTTTACCCCACCCAGCGCAGCCGGCCCGGCCTCCTGCTTCCTGTACACAGCAGCAGAAAGCAGCAGGACAGGACTCAGAGGATGACTATGGGCTTTATCCTGCAGGTGATAATGTGACAACAAAGCCTTATAATTACCTCGATGTGCCACTTCATTCATTATTCATCGTGAAAGGATGTACTGGAGGGCCACCAAAAGATGCCTAAATACCACTTGTCTATTTAACCACAAGTTATTAGGCAGGCTTCGGATCGTCATTTCGTTTTACATGTTGTTTTCATACTGGTAATGAGCAGAAAATATCTTTGCTCAAAGAAGTTCCACCCCTTCACCGAATATATCGTCAGTAAATCAAAATGTTTTAGTGACAGCAAAAATGTTGCTATTTCTGTGGTGCCCGAAGCACCGGGGTTGTGTATTTTATTACTGCACGGTCAGCAGGTCCTGACACGCCGTGTGACGCAGACGTACATTAGCTGCCCTGCCTGCTCGCCTACCGATTTCATTCCCAAATGATTAATTAATCAGGCTTCCATCCAGGTATAATAGAGCCATCTCCATGGCTCCACACACCTTTCCTGTGCCTGTGGGCCATCTGGTCAGATCTGTTGAGGACTGTGCAGCAGGTGCTCGGACACACTACACCGGGCCAGATGAGGCTTTTCTGAATCGTCCTGCTGGCCCTGGCAGGTGTGAGGTGGGGAAAACTGGGGCGAGATTAGCTGTCAGCCAAAAGGGACAATGTGGGTGTCTCTGGCCTTTTGGCTCAGAGGAGCGTGGGTAGTTTGATCCGGCTGGCAGGTGGGGCGCAGCTTCTGCACTTTTAGAAGCAAAGGCGGCCTCTCAGTGACAGCATGTCACCATGTGAGATGTAGGTCAAGTTCACAAGTTGACACAAGCAAATACACTGATACATGCTCAAAGCAGGGTGTCATATTTGTGGAGATTCTCAGTCATCCTGGTCTAGCTTGGAAAGTTCAGTCAGGCAGTTGGAGGTGAAGTTTTATAGAAGAAGTTTGGCCTCTGAGCCAGAAGCTTCTTCAGTTCTAACTGATGGTGGAGCTCTGAGGTTAATATACTGTCGGTGGAACTAAAGAATTAGGGAGAAACCAAAGGTGGCTCTGGTCCCTCCTGCTGGGGGGCCATGGGGGTCACCTGGGGGGGTTTCATGGTGGTTAGCAGCTAAACGACCAAAACAAGTGGAAAAAAGAAGCAAAACAATGAAAAATAAGCGGAAAAAGCCGCTAAACGACCAATTATAAGTTAAAGAATCAGCAAAACAATGAAAAATAAGTGGAAGAAGCAGCAAAACAACCAAAAATAAGTAAAAGTTGCTCCAGCTGCCTAAACTTTCCTATTTTAAATCAGGGTGATTATAGCCTCAATTTTGACTTAAGCCATACATGTTAATGGTGCTTGAATTTAGCTTTGGAAAGAGGTGCAATCTGACAAAATTTGTGTCTTGTAATGCTTTTTGGGTCTCGTAAGGACATGAATGAGTGGGAAATTAACTTTTCAAAAGAAACACAGAGTGCAGTTATTTTCCCACATGAATGAAGGATTTCCTATCTAATATAAAGGTTAAACCAAATATGTTCTCATCAAAAGATTATGGAACTCGGCCCATGCAGAGTTTCTGTTTTAAAAGAAGTGTTTGACTTCTGAGACAACATGATAGAAAAACTATTGGAAAGTGGCTCCAAGCCAGAAAAAAGACTCTCATTATGGACCTTGTGTTTCTCTGAATAAATCTGTCGATGGTGGTAGATGAAGCATCCCTCAGTCTTGGATTAAACTGCTTAGACAGACTCCCTTCAAAGACTCCTTAAATCATTATCTCTTCAATGAATTCTTGGCTTTCCCTGACTACCATATGTCTAATCTACTTCAGCTTTGCAGGTGTTAAGCTGAACGCTTCAGTCACTGCTGCTCTAAGTTTAAATGCATTCTTAGGAGGAGTGGCCTTATTTTGGGGTTCTTCTGTTGTTTGTGGTGAGATCAAGGCTAAACCTGACTCACGCCTGTTGCTATATTGTGTGTGGTTGTCGGTCCTTGTGTGTCTCTGTGTGGCCCTGCGATGGACTGGGGACCGTCCAGGGTGACCCCGCCTCTCCCCATTGGCTACTGGGATAGGCTCCAGTTCCCCCATGACCCAATTAGGGAATAAGCGGTTATGAAAATGGATGGATGGACAGCTATTGATACTGATGGAATTTTTGAATCTTGACAAATATGTCGATGTGAGAAATATCAACACAGATGATAATGTGACAGCTTGGCTTGTTTTAAAATATCATTGCCGACAACCCCAGTTCACTGATAATCAGGCATCTGATGATAATGTCGAAATACAGTAACAGTACAGTACAGTACAGTTTCATACAGAACAAGAGAATAGAATACTTCATTGATCCCACAGGGGGGGAATTTTACACATTACAGCAGAAAAATCAGAAAAAACACAAGCAAAGTGGAGGTATAGATAAATAAATAAGTAAATTAAGGTTATTTACAATACAGCAAAATAAATAAAGGTAAACTACAAGTGAGATTCATATAATATATAATTAATTTCTATCATATATTTATATATATGGTATAAATATGATATGATAATATAATATATAATATAATAACACAGCTACACTCGACGGCACCAGAAAGTGTAGTTTGACCTACTCCTCCATATTTATGTCAGCTGTCCCGGCCTGTCTAGACCTCCTACACAGAGAGCTTAATCCTCTCATGCTCCATAACACAGTATTCATAACTTCACGAACAGTAAAATCCACACACACGAGAGAGCTCCTGTCTGAGTAGTTTTTCAGACAGAGACCCAGACTGGGGCAAAAACCAGCAGAAATGGGCCACCGGTCAGATTCTCTGTCCTTATGCTGCACGTGACTGGGCCACTGACGTCTTATAGATAATAGTGATGATGAAAATGAAATCCTTCCCTTTCTAGGCTAATGTAAAATACTGACAGGGCGCTCTTCCTTTTAATGAAATGTTTCAGTGCTTAAATAACAATAGAATAATTAATGCTAGATGACTATTCATATATTTGACATTAGAGGGACGAATTTTTACGATGTTAATGCCAATAAATCTGACCAATTTCTTTTTCTATGTCCCTATCCATGACTAGTACGTGAACTGAATAGTAGAGTATCTTTTAATTATTACTTGAGAATGCACTATTTAAATTTGTGAATAGTGAATTAACATATTTACTGTATGAAAGTGAGGATGAATGTAATATATATAAATGTAATAACTTATTTTAAATGATTTCTGATGACATCTATAATAATGTCTACAATGTTTAATTCTTAACAGATTTTTGTTTTGTCTTGTGGACCCCAGGAAGACTATAGCTCGTCCCACTTTTGGTGACAGCTAATGTGGATCTTTTGAAAAAAACAAAAAAACAATCCGCCACCAATTTCTACTTTTCCTGATTAAGATTACACGTTACATTCAGAGAACATGGTTTGCTCCTCTGGATTTATGAGAACAAGAACTGTTTAGCATGTATTTGGTGCCAAGTTCAGAGAGGTGTTGGTGCCTATTGAGCTCCACTCTACATCAGAGGTCTCATAATGTCAAAATCTAATGTGAGAAGAAAAAAAAAACATAAAATGTCACCAAAACTGATACATTTACAGTTAAAATTTCTTAAATAAATTTCCTTTGTTACAAGAACAGAAATATTCCATCTTAAAAA